TCTATTGGCTAAGCTAATCTCTCAATAATGAGAGCCTATATCTATATCATGCAAGAAGGAATGTAACTGTAAACGATGTATAGTGGTGAGTGACAGTTTGGAAAAGAGGTTGAAGTGCCATTTGCAAAACTTGTTTTCCAGTTTTTGTCACTAGCATGAGAGAGAGAGAGAGCGTCGCGTATCTCTCAGATCGCCCTATCGTCGTCGTCTGTAGTGAAGGGCATCGGATGGTGAGAAGCTATTATTGTTGCTGATGTTATTTCTTACTTCACTCTAATATTGGCATCTAATATAATATTTGCATAATTTATGTTACCAACAATTTTATTACTGCTAAATTCCTAGCATCAATGAAATTCTTATTTATAAAATATATTACCAAAAAAACAAAAAAAAAATTAGAGGATTTTTTCTTTTCGTGAAGTTTTACGATATTAGACGTGATATTATACTGTGCATTTTATGATTTAAAATTAATGTTGAAATATGCTGCTGTTTATTTCATGTTTTTTTTTCGGAGAAATGATCGATTTACGAAGCCTAATTTTGGTAAATACTTTGAGAGCTACGAAATTCTTACACTTGAAATTTTTCTTTTTTTGTATTATTTCTTTCCATTTGTTAGAAACCATTTTTAATTATTTCAAATAATTGCACAAATAAATAATCATAGAATTAGATCAAATTATATTTTTTTCAGGAAAAATTTTGTCAAATTTTAAAACTGTTTCAAAATGATTATCAAACGCTCAAGTTTTCGAATTTATTTAGTGATATTCTTTTTTCTTAATTAAATAATAAAATAGATAATTTCAATATAACAATCGAATAAAGTTTTCAAATAATTCGAAAATTTTGCAACTTTTGTTGTTTTGCTCTTCTCTTACAGTTAATAGAGTAATGATGATCGGATTTGGATTCACTACTTCTTACTTTTTTTGGATTATTGATTATTTTTTGGATCTCTCACACGAGACTATTTTTAGCATCGTTATTGATAAAATTTAATTGATTAATGTTCTTTCATTGTAGGAGTTTGTGAGTTTATAATTATCGCATTTGACCATCTTGAGAAACATGTTTACTGCAACTTCGTCACTTCCATTCACAAAATACTTTTAAACCCTTTATTGCAATGGTTAACTAACTTCCTTAGTGTCCAATTTCCATACTTTCTTTATAAATTTTTCACGAAATCTGATTAGATCAATGTTGAGATTATGAAATTAATTAACCTAACTCAGGTTAATGTTGAGATTTTTAAAAAGCTATTCGTCAATCTTTGATTTGAAATGCCAATATTAAGATATTTCTTTAAATTATATTGCTCCATCATTAGAATATGAACGATGTCACAATCATTCAGAAAGGAAGAAGAATGTGATTGTATAGGTTAAATAGAATTTGTCAACTATATTGATTACTCTCGTCTTCACATACTAATTATAAATCGATTTGTAATTTGTAATCTTATGTGCATTTAAATCGTATTGTCATTTCATGTCACAGTTTAGGCTTTACTGGTACGATTTAAGTAGTTTTCCTATTTTTAGGATATGAATTAGTTAGATATTTTAGTATGATTAGACCAGACCATCCTAAATCTTCTGATGACCATCAATAGTGGAAGCTATTAGCTTTTGAACCAGACACTTTCATCTGTGTGATTGTTTTTTCAAGTGAAATAATTACTCGGTATCCTCTTTCACAGATTTGCAATACTAAGTTTGTGCATGATACGAATAACATGTATTTAATCGATATATAAATAAGAAATTATCTCAACAGGAAATATCTTGGAATGAATACAAATGATGTCGAAATATTACAGGTAATAACGATTACCCTCTAAATTTAAAATATATAGCATGAATGCTGTTATGAAGAGATTAGAAATGTGTTAATTTTCTTATTTAATAGAGATATCGTTTCATCACTCATTATTCAAACTACACTTTATAGTCTAAAGTTGCATGAGGAAAAGAAAAAATAAGTTTAAATATTTTGGACGGAAATTAACAGCTATATTTATGGATGGATTTGTTAATTGAAGTGTTTCTAAGTTTCGTCTCTAACGCTAGTCGTTGATCAGTAATATTGCTTAAATAATGGTCAACACAGATAGAGAATAAGCGTTATTCCATATTGCATTATGGCAAATCATATTTGCGTATTCAACGGTAAAGATATCAGTAAAAAATTAAGACTTTTTCAAGCATCATACTTTGATTTAGAGATCCTTACTTACAGAAATACAAGTAGTCGAATAGTTGAAGCAAATGAATTCCCAACTCATTTTGAGTTTCTAATTTAAACTTATATGATAGAATTAAATTTCTCTTAAAAACGAAAATTCTGATATGCAGATGTATCCTAGCTATAGATCAGAAATAATTGAAATCCAATCTTTTTAACCTATATGAAATGGGAAAGTATACGAAAAGATTGATTCTCTCCAGAAATTCTTTCAAAGATTGTTTAAGAATGAAATCAAAGAGATGATAATAACTTATTCCTACATCGATGATAAATAACATACTATTAAATCGATAATCGTTCATTTAAATGAGTTAATCTATGTGCAGATTTCAACTTTCTAAATCTATACTCTGATTAAAAGTGTAGTTTGTATGTGAAAAGAAGTACCACGGCATGTATGCGCTAATTCACGAAGTTCATAGCAAATACAGTTGATGGGAATTAATCCCTCTAATTTTTTTTAAATTAAATAATAAAGGAATGATTCAAATAAAAAACTGCGTTTTATGTTATTTAACTAAGGTTTAAGTGGAATTAGAATCACTTATTGATTCACTTGTTTATTTTATTTCGTACAATAGATGTTCAATTAAAAAGAAGCCTCTATGCTTATATGAAGTTAGTTCCTATATTAATTTTAAAACTAAATAACATCGAGAGAATGGTATTTAGAACTTTTGATAATATTTCTCATGGTCCAGATGCGATCATTAATTATATTTCTTCAAATATTACTGAAAATAAGAAGAGCTGCTGTACTAAGGATATTTATGAAATAGAATTTAAAGTTGTTTCCACATTTTGAGTTACATATATGAATTTCAAAAATATTCAATTGCAGAAAGCTCTCAAAGAGCGTACTTCGGAATGCGATTCGCTGAAAAAGAAAGTGGAAAAATTCGAGAGAGACCGGTAAAGAATTTAAATGCAAGCTACAAATTTTTTTTCAACTTAGATCATATTTAAATTAATAAAAACTGCCAATTTCTTTATTGCTTGTATTGATGATATTTCTGCTTGTTAAAACTGAAAAGGCAGTATCAGTGAAAAAAGTTAATCCTAGGAACTATTTTTTAAAGTGTTTCAGAAGGTTTTCCCGAAATGTTTTAAGAATGATAAATTTTTTAGGAAAATTTCCATGAATTTGTTAGATTGTCAAACTATTCACTTTCCTTCTTCCTACATTCATATATTGTGTTTAATACGTCTTGTCCGACTCTTTTCCCTCTCTTTCTCAGCAACACTACAACATTCCTAATTTTGAGACTGCGGAAATCATTTGTCAGTTATTTTTGGTAAAAAGAATTAAACCTATCACGTGTTTTTCGATTATATAATAAAGTTGATTTTTTATCAAGCTAATTTTTTATGGATTTGGACTTTCGGAAAGATCAAAAAGGTCATTTCGAATTAAAAGATCGTGATAGATAGTAGGTAGTGATCCGAATGACAAATAGTGAAAACTGATTTTCCTGAAGCTACTAGATTACTAAAAGCAAAGTTTCAGCTATATAAGATGGAAGCTTGTGTATTTATATTTTGAGAAGTATGAGAAAAAGAGGGATTTTCAGAATCAGATCATCTTCAAATAAAGATGGGCATCAATGTTTCAGGCAGCAATGGGAGAATCAGAAGCGAATGTTGGAAGCGAAGCAACCAATCGATGTTCAGATGCTACAGGGCGAAAAACGGGAACTAACCATGCAGTTGGATCGGGAACAGGCCGAGAAACAAGAGCTTTTTGTGCAGGTATTATTTTTTTTTTATTTTTTCTTTCACCCGAATGAGAAAGGTAATCTCTTGGAATGCATTAGTTATCTTGTTCCTCTAAGTTTTCAATTCGAAAACCTGGAGGAACAACGCAAGTTACATACAAATTACTGATCCACTTGCAGAATATCTTCCATAATCGGATGTTCAAATATTTAGTCGTTTCAAGATTATATCAGAAAAATTTGGCAGTGTGGAATGTGAGAGAAAAGAGGAAAAAATAGTTGAAATTCAATCGTAATCGCAGAATTATTTTCAGATCAATAGTTTAATAGCACAGTTAGCAGATGCAAATCGAGATACTTTAAACCATCAGGAATGTAATGTGTTGAAGGATGAGAATGAAAAGTTAAAGAAACAAATTGGTGATATCCTAGTTAGTTTTGATCTTATGTTTTGTATGTTTTTTTTCTAAGAAAATAAAAAAAGAAATCGATGCATTAATTTTCATGTTAAGACAGGAAAATATATTTTTAAGTAATTTTTTGTTGCCGAAATATTCAGAAACGATCATTCAAATAATTTGCAAAATAATGGTGCAATGTGTAGGATCTCTCATGTCCAATATTACTAAGAATTGCAGGATATCCAATCGCAACTGAATACAGACGTGCACAACTTGCAAGAAGAAGTGCGATGTAAGAATCAAGAAGTAGAAAATGCTCAGGATGAATCAAAAAGGCTTCGTTTGATTATGAACAACGAGAAGGTTAAACTGGAGAGTAATATTGAGGAGTTGCAGCGCGATTTACAGATGAAATCAGCTGCATTGCAAAGCTTAATACTTGCCAAACAGGTAGCTAACATTTTTTTTTCATTACATCTGTGTCGTACATTCTTTTTCCTCATTTTCGATCATGAATGTACTCTTTAGGATGTCAAGACGAATGAAGCAGATTCAGCAATGATAACTCAATTAACAGTGGAAAATGAGGAAATGCGGGGTCAGATTGATGAGATCAGAAATGAAGTTAAGAAACGCGATTCCGAAATTGAGGAGATGAAATTAGAGAATGAAAAAGTAAACATTATTGAAATTTCTGTAATGGGGTAGTGGACTACTTCTGTAAAAACAGTTCCAGTAGTTAAGAGCCTGTATTATTTCTCTTAAAATCAGGCCTTATTAAAATTATAATTGCCTCAAGTTGTATGAAGCACTAAGTTTTTAAATATTAATTTAGCTTAATTAACCATGGATTTTGTTTCCGCATCTTTAAAAGTATATGGAGAAGGTTATCGAATAAAGCAGCATGATATTATTTTTTGTTCGATTTCAAAATTCATGTTTTTAAGGTATTTGTTAAAATATTTTTCATTTTATTTAGAAACTTGGAGCTCTTCAAAGCGAGTTGGAATCAGTGCGAGAAACTCTAAAAAAGAAAGAAACAGAATTGTCCAAACAAAGTGATGTAAATTTTTTGATTTCTTCTAAACATTACATTTTGTCATCATAGTTTTATAATCTTATTAAAGTATCGCTAATCTGAAAACTCACAACTTCAAAATTACATTGAAATTTCTCGAAATTTAGGAAATTGAGAAGTTGCAAGGCGAATTGAATTCCGCATTAGAAAATATGCAGAAGAAGGAAGCTGAATTATCAATCATGCGAAACAATGTAAGCAAGCTTCAATTTCCACACAAATTCTGTTATCTGATTTTTCCAGCTACAAAGTTGTAAAATTTTATTTTTGCGATGTGATTTAAGTTCGTAAACGATTTTGATGGTTCTGTTAGCAATAGCTTCAGTAAAAGCTTATTGTTTTCAAGATGCCTCAGAAAATTTCATTAAATTAGTAAGATTGTACAACAAGGTATTATCTTCCCAAGTTTTATCAGCATTCATTGAAATGAATTATTTCAGGAAGTAAATGAAATCTCACAACTGCAAGAGACTTTGGAGAAATATAAATTGGATGCAGAAAAAATAAGTGAACGGCTGGAGGAAAGCCAAAAAAATTTGGCAGAATGTGAGAAAAAGTATGTTTTCAATATTCCAATGATAAATTTATTTATTGCGAAGTATTGCTTACAAGGTCGTTGAAATTCGCTTCTATATTTAATATTTGCAAGAAATTCGATTCTTCTAACAATTGGATATCTGTTGTGTCTAGACCTTTTTAGCTTATTTTTCTACTACAAACCTAAAATTTAATAAAATATTCAATTAATAAAGAAAAAAAGGGATGAAAAAGATGGGAATGTAGAAGAGGCAAGAAGAGATTATTTTAAAGTTGATATTATTTCGGTTGCTTACATTGAAGTGCTAAACCTGAAATAGGAATTGGAAATCGGTGAGTAAAACTACCATTCTTAAATGCTGTTCTTGACTTCGTATTATTTACATTAATTTTTCCATAATATTACCAGAGGTAATTATTCGGTATATGAACGTCTTAGCTAATCCTAACTCGTATTTAATCGTGCTAATAGTGATAATGACAAAATCAATAAGTTTACAGATATTTTCTTTTCAAAATCGTATAAAAAGTATCGTAATTATCATATTGCTGATCAAACATGCTATTCTGTTATAAGTTACTTGACCTTACTGGTTTTATGCAATGATATCAGTGCAAACCGTGCACCGTATTTGGTAAATTTAGATGCAATTCTACTTTTTGTATGTTATGCTTTTATTTAGTGTACTTAATGTCTTTTTAATCTAGATATGATATTTTGAAAAATGATTCCGAAGCAAAACTTACACGGGAAAGCGATACTTTAACGGATGCTAGAAAGAAATTTGAAGAAGAAATGAGATTACAGGAAGCGAAATTTAATGTTAGTTTTTACATTTCTTGAATTTTTATTAATGAATTTTTGTTATCTACAACTGTTAATATACTGGAATCAAATAGCTGCACCAGAACTCAAGTTTTTATATTTTCCGAATAATCAGTCAAAATTTTATTGGAATTTAGCTGCTTTTTAATTTCTTGAATAGAAGCAACTAATTTACTCAATGAATTTACGTGAAGGAAATATTCTGCTCCTTACCGGGACAACAAATTTGATCCAAAAGAAAAAGTAAGATAAGGAATTTTGGTGCATTCGTTAATGTTGTGGTATGTCTACAACCATATCGCGTTGGAAGCACGACATCTCGTCTGATTTGTCAAGTTAAGCAATGTTGGGCTTGGTTAGTACTTGGATCGGAAACGGCTTGGAAATCCCGAGTGTTGTAGCCACACACTTTTGTTCTTCAACAAAACTTTTTCTTAATGTAGGATCCAAATGTTGTTGTGTGCAGCACCAAATAATTCATTTAAGATGATTAAAATGAAATTAATTAAGCGCTTTGTTTCTTTTATTTTAGAATTTGAAACAGAGTTTAAAATTGGAGGAAATGCGAACACAAGAAGCAGAACAGGGAGCAAAAAGTTACCAGTTACAAATTACTGATCTCGAAGAGGAATTAAAAGTCTTGAGGATACAAACTGAGAAACAGCGTAATGTTAATGAACAGGTAACATGTGAAACTAAATTCGTCTTGCAAGCTTATTTGATCAGTGCAATAAGAAATTGCATTTAATTTAGTTCTATTTTTCCCTAACTTTTTGCACTCAACAAAAGAAAAATTTCCAAATTCCCAATTCATGAAATTGTACATTATGACCATGAATATAAAGGTAAATTTAGCGTAGTTGCAGAGAGTATTACACTGCTTTAATATCAAGGGATTTATTTTAACAGCTGGGCTATTCCAATAATTTACAAAGTTCAAATGAGCTGCATAAGAAATTCATTTCAGATGCACTTGCTGCGCGAAGAATTGAAACAGGCGAAATATAAAATAGCTGCTCAGGCTGCGGATCTGGAAAAAGCTGAAACAGATGCTGATGTGGGTAGATTAGCCTTATCCTTATAAATTAATATGTACTTTACCTACTTTATTTTATTCTGATTCATTGATAGAATGTTTTTTGTGAAAAATCCCTTTTTCATTTTTGCTCTTTTGAAACCTTCCCTTTGGCCTTTCTCTTTAAATTCAATCAGAGATCGCAAATAATACATCCGTCAGGCTTAATAATAAGTTTTAAGATTGGTATGATTTAGCTTCATTGAAGCTGAGTTCGATTGAGGTGAGTTAAACAGATACATTAAAATAAATTAAAGAAATAATGCGTGCGTGTTGTAACAAGTTACTTATTAAAGCTTTATTTTCAGGAAGCGGAACGTTCCAGTCGGGAAACTATTGAAGAGCTGGAAGAAGAAATTCGTTCTCTTCAAGAGAGGTTGAAAATTCTAGAAATAGATGAAGAGAAACAAAGCAAGCATTTGTTAATGGTTGAGGAGGAAATGAGGAAGAATCGAGAAACTAGGTAAGAGAAGTTTGCTGATGAGTTGAATTATGCATCTCGAATGTCTCGGTTGTTATTGATCCGTTCACAACTTGAATTTCTCTCCTGCATTACCATGTTTTTGAATTCAGCGAGAAATACGAAAAGAAATGTGAAATGCTGACGAAGGAACTTGAGGAAGTTCGCTCTGCGTTTGCTGACGCTAATAGAATCCTAGAAACATTCAAAGCTGAAAATGAGAAGTTGCTGACGAAAGCAAGCTTGGAAGATGAAGTACTCACCTTAGCTACCTCATTGCAGTCAGCTCGCGATGAGATTAGGTTTGTCTAGTTTTTCGGCTCTTGCCATTTTCAAATCGAAGTACTCGAATTTTGAAGTTTTATGCAGAATTCAGAACACCGGGAGCATCCACAATAATTTGAAAGAATGTTTCATTTTGTCAGGTGAAAAGGATTTGCAGAGTTGCGATATAATTAACTTTATATCCTATTTTATAATATTATAATCACTGAAACAAATTTTTGAGACATTTTTAGCATTTAGCATTCTTAATTAATTTCAAGTATGTTTAGTATAAAGCATGATGAAATCGCAAAACTTCGGAAGGAATTGCGTGAAGTACATGAAGAAAATCAACGTCTGTTGATGGATATTGATATACAAACTCAGGCATTGCAGCAGGATGCCCAACTGGCTAGGTCTGAACGGGATGAAATGAAAAAAGAAATGGAAAAATGTAAGGTAAATAATCAGTCCAGTAAAAATTTTTTTTTTTACCAAGAACGAATAGAGGAATGGATTTCAAAGCGGATTAGGAATTTCTTACGACACTGTAAAAAACGCTTTGTTTCATCAAGTATATTATGTTTAAGATTTTCCGAGTATCAGAAATCGAAAACTATGATCGCTTAAATTGAAATTCGAAATTCTTCTTCAGTTTCATATACTCTTTCGCGATTTCTGGAAAAAAATCTTTCTGCTTTTAAGTGAAATTCGAAATGTTTGAATTATTTTTGTTTCTAAAGTGATAATATTGTTCAGCAGCAGAAAGATAGCCTCGTTTTGGTTGAACTTAAGAATGAAATCTCAAAGCTTGAAGAACAAGCGATTGAAAAGGTAACGAAAAATTCATTGAGTTACAAACTAGGGGACCTATTTATGATAGTTTTACATTTGTTCCAGAAGGGTGTCACTTTTATATTTAATTTATTTAGGGAATAATAGACAGGTAAGTATCAAGGAATCTTTTTTGTATTCTTTGATTTATTCACTTTTTTAAATCTAAAAAATTTTGTGTCATTACTTACTTTACAGGAAAAAATGTTCTCATCGCTACGAAGTGATTTGGAATCGAAACATCAAAAAATGTTGATTGAAGCAAAGCAACATTATGAGCAACAGATTAGTAAATTAAATGAAGAAATGGAAGAACTAAAAACTTCTGAAAGTGAAAAAATTGAAGAAGTAAGCTGACAGTTATAAAAAAATCCTAATGACCACAATTATAAAGCTTTCAAATATGGATTTTAAACCAAGAAAAGGAAAGGAACTGAGAGAAAGTAGTCTGATTAAAATTTTCAAGATGAATGCAAAAATTCACTTTCAAGATAATTGCTTTATTTCCAGTTTTTTCTCGTAATTTTATTTTTAAGTAATTCGTTCTTTTTAGATTCTACAAAGTTACAATCTTTATGTATGATCTATTGTTATTAATGGACTCTCATTTTCTTGATATTTGTATGATAAAGTGAGCTTATCTGTTAATATGAGTCCAGTGACCTTTTGCACTCATAATTTCCAAATTATAAGTTCTTTTTCTTTTTTCATGATTTTTGTTGGAATTCTGTTTAAATTAATATATAATTTTGTCACTTTATAGCTCAATGCTCTAATGACGAATCTGAGGAAAGAGTTAGCTGTCAAGGGCGGCAGTGTTGTATCTTTCAGAATTGATCAACCTCAAAGCAGAGAGGCACAAAATCTGGATTTGAGTCCAAGATCTGATTTCGAAGAGAAATTGGCTACTTTAAAAGAATGCATAGCTGATGTACTTGAGGAAAAATTCGTACATGGTGATTGTCAGCCAGTAATGGTCAGCAGAGCTACTCAAACAAGAGTGGAAATGGAAGAGGGAAGACACATAATTTCCGTGAATAACGATGATGAAGAATCTCTGAAACATAGGGATAGAAATGGGCTGTTATTAAAACGGGAAATTGAAAATTTCGAGTGTAATCATGCAAATACCAACGAACAACTTTGGAAATCCAAATCTAGTAGTGAAGTTTGGAGTCTAAGAGCCGAGTTAGCTTTTCTGAAAAAACAAATAAAAGATGAGGAAATGGACAGAAAGTGCCTTCAGAAACACATTCAGGTACTTCAGGCCACTATTCAGGAAAATAAAGAAATTTTAGATTTGATTAAAGAAACGGAAAAGGATATGAAAAGTGATAAACTTGAAGCTCAAAAACGTTTGGATCCATTTGAGGAACAGATTAAAAAGCTAAAAACGGAATTAGCAAGTGTTCAAGAATGTCGGGAGCAATATAAGCGAGAAGTTGAAGAGAGAGATTTAGATATTGCTAGTTTGAAAAAAGATATTGAAAATTTAACTAGCGATATAAGATCTTGCAAAACACGTCTTCAAGAAAGCAGTCGTCTGGAAGAACGAAACAGAGTGATCGAGTTTGAAAATAAAGGCCTTCTCGATGAATGTTTATCATTGAAGACGAATTTAACGAAATTAAAAGAGCAACTTGTCGAAATGGAAAATGAAAACATGAAAAAACATGCTGAAGTGAATGATCTTAATCAACAACTGGATAAAACTCGTCAGGCCTATGAACTCTCAGGAGCAGAAATGGATCGATTACGCGAGCAGTCTGAAAATTTGTCAAAGGAGGTGAACCATTTGAGAAATTTCCTAAATATTGCTAATACTGAGAAAGAACAGCTGAAAATGGAAGCACTCGAACAACTAAAGGAAATGGAACGGCTTTCATGGTAATTATAATAAATTTCCTTTTGATATTCATTGTTTGGATGAAAAAATACTTCATTCACTCTTATCTATCTGCAATTTTCATTTGCTAAAATTATTTTTCATTTATTACATCTCTTCGTTCGTAATTTTTTCACCGCACAAAAGATATAATATGTGTGTTGTAACACGCTTTTGCCCTTAACTTATTGCTATTTTATTAGTCATTTGTTAACAGTAAATGATAATGAAAATTTGATTATATTTGACCGAAATATTTGTGTGTAATTTGTTGACGTTCATTTTCTCCGTTCACGAATTCATATTTCTAAATTTAAACCCCTGGATTAATTAAAATTTTTCAAAATTCTATAGCTTTGCTTTAAATTTGCTTCACTAAAACTGAAAATAGCTTTCCTCTCCATCACTTAATGTCACTGTGCTATGCATTGTTGGTTTATTTATCATTATAAGCGATAATTATCATGCTTTATTTAATTCGTACTTTTCATATGTTGCCATGCTCATTCTTTTAACGTGCATAATTATTAGAGTTTGTTATTCGTAAAGAATTTCTAAGAAGTTTAAAGTTCAAATCAAAATCAGTTTTTTTTTTTTTTTTAGAATCCTTACCTCTCGCTTCGCTATCGCTAATTCTTTTTGTGTCGTACGTTACTCCCTACCTATTTTCCATTAAACTTTACTCAGATCATATTGGGATATTTTTTCATTTCAAAGAATAGCTTTATTATTTTTATTGCACTGTAGTATATCTTTTTGCGGAAGAAGGAGAAAACATTTTTTCTTCAAACGGAAAAAATTTTGTATGTGGGAATCTTAGATCTGAGTGGCCTTTTTTATATTTTACAGTGAACGGATGGAGCTAGAAGTAACTCGACAACAGCTAGATGAAGCGATAGCGGAAGGTGAGCGTCAAGCTCAGGAATTAGCAAAATTAAAAGTTCAAACTAAGGGTGATGAAGACTTGGAAAAAGATCGGCAACATGAGCTCTATGATTTGCGCCAACAAATTCAGACCATCGAGGTGTGGTCATAGCCTTTTTAATTTTAATAACTGTTCAAAGATATGTTTAATTTGTCATATCTTATGGAGTGCATAGCATTGTCTCAATTTTTTTAATGATGATTTATTTGTCTTTACATCTGTTCTCCCTCTGCGATAACTACGAGAGACTGAAGATGCTTGCAGTATTGATTTTTATATCTATGAATAATAAAAATCATATTAAAATCCATGGAGCTTTAGAGTAAATCTGCAGACATTGTTGTTCAAGTCAAATATTTCTGACAAATAGCAGTTCTAATTATGAAATTTTTTTCAGGAAAAATGGAAACTGGAATCCAAGGAAAGAGAAACAAATGCGCAAGTTGCGAAAGAAGAATTTGAAAAACTAACTAAAATAAATGAAACATTCAATGAAAACATTAAAAGACTCACTAATGAACTGGTAGTTGAACGAAAACGGATCATCGATTTAGGTATCAAGTTTACTCATACACTAATAAAAAGGTGATTCTTTTATTTCAATTCAAATTTCAGGTCTCGAAAAAGTGCATCTTTTGAGTGAAATTAAACAGCTCAAAAATGAACTTGACACATTGAAGACAAAAAACATATTGGAAAAGGAATCGTTGGAAGCGGAAAGGGAGGTGAAAATTTAAGAAGATAGAAATCTTTCATATGCGTCATATGTTTTAACTGAAGAAGTGTTATAATGCATTGTTTTAGCAGAATATCTTTTTCTGTAGTTCCCAAAAGATGGATAATAATAATACGAAGATTACTATTGGTTTTAATATTCATAAATATTTTAAAGTCATGTAAATGTTTTTTAAAAACCTCCAATTTAATTATTTTCTAGAACATGTGCACCTTGTAGCTTTACAAGAGCAATAAATCAAGCAATTTATGTTTCTTTTAGAAATTATAGAAGGATTTGCAACATTTTCTGCAGTTGTGTAGCAACTTATTATAGCATTAATTAAAAAGGCTTGGATAGGTCATCTCTTATTGAATTATTTCAGTCAAGTGAATTAATAACCAAAATGTTCACGTGGCAGGTGAACTGTTGAAGAAACATAATCTGGTGGGTAAAAAACTAAGTAAGCAAGATAAGTGAATGTCAGAATCGTTGAAAAATCATGTTGATCGTTGGAAATGTAAGAGAAATTGTTACAGGAGGAAAATCAAGAAGAATTGAGAAAGCTTACGGAAGATTTCGAGAGACGGTTGCAGCAGTGTGACAGTGAGTGGACAGTAAGGTCGAACAACCAAACGGAAATATTGAAACGAGAAATGAAGTGGATGAAGGATGAAAATGAAAAATTACGAAGCCAAAACGAAAGGTTAATTTAAAAGCAAAGGAATTACTGGAAACAAAGAAACATGATAAAATTTTTACATGTTGCATAACATTTATTGTTTACTGGAGTATTCGATTTATTTTTTTCGGTGTAACAAAACTCTCAGTGCAATGCAACTGCTAGTGGAAGAGATATTTACTTATTTTCAGAACACCTCAGTGTTGTTGTTTGCGAGAATAATTTAAATTCGGTATCCAGCCAGAAAAAACCAATGAAGATTTGCATTTGCAAATTTGTAATGGAAACATTTTTCGAATACTCCTCATTTTCAAGCTTATATATATAATTTATAAGATTGGCAGTTGTTTTCTTCAATTTAGGATACCTTAAAATTTAAGGTTACGAAAGGAAATAGATGAGATACAACGAGAACTGAAAAAGAGCAAGCAAATATTGGAACAATTGGATGTTGAGGAAAAGTTAAACGAATCCGAGAGTAATTTAACCAGGTTTCAAGATTTTGCATCTGATCTGTGGGCCTTAAAAATACATTTTAGAGTGTGTAAAGTTAAGCTGTTATTTGAAAGCATTTCATTTTGCTTTGGAATCTTTATTCTTTCTGTTCCTCAAGAAGGGATTACTAACCAGATGATGGAGTCGCTTGAAAATGTATTATTTGATTATAAAACCGTATTAAAATTGCATTGTTTATGTTTCATATGCTCAAGCAGTAAATTTTCAGATTAGAAGCAGCATGCAATACTCCTACACCACCACCTCGCAAAAGGATTGGAAGTGAAATAACCGATGGAGTGTTGCAGATATCGTTGACGGAAGAAAATAAGAAATTGAAGAAAGATGTGGAAATGTAAGTTTCATTATTTCTCAATTGAAATCATTTTCAGGCAAGTAATTTAATTTCCAAAGTCAAACCTCTAACAGCGAAGTTATGCCTCTTTACATCGAGGCAATAGATTATAATATCAAAAGATGTTTTACCTATGAAAAGTGTTGGACCGTCGCAAATCTCTCAACAAATCCACGTAATGCTCATAATGTTACTAGGATTGAATTACACATCAAACAAACTTTCTGGATTTGTGCACTGTTGGATATTTACTTGGTTGTATTTTGCATTCGAAACGCATTGGTGAGATTTGAGCTTAACATTTCTGTCCGAAGTCAATTTTCCAGTTCCTGTTTCAAATTTCGATTTAGTTTCGATATTCATGATTTCCAATTCATGTCAAGTAAACTGCTTCCTGTTTGATTTACTTTTCGTGTTTATCATTTAAATTTAGCCTCAACTTTTTGACATGAGTGTTCCCAAACATTTAGAAGGATTTGACCCCTGTACCACAGGTGTTTTCTGACTTTTCGTTTTTCATGCATTCATTTATCTGCATCCCAAATGAAGTATGTTTACACAACATATTATCCTTCACCAACCTTTTCCCAAATATATTATAGTTCACGTTTCAGCGGAATATCGTTTTTACCTTCTTTCTTTCCTTTTTCTCCTCTTTTTCTAACATCATTATGATAAAAGCACTCATAAAAATATATGAATTATGATCCTAGACATTCCTTATCGATATAGCGAGGTTTCTTATCTGAATTAGTTGAAAATTCGATCAAAACTGAAGATTCTGGAAGTTTTCTGTTAAGATATTTTTTCTGCTTGTCTTGAATGCTCTAATTAGTAGTAATAAGTGATAAAAATTTAAATCCCTTATTCTCTCTCATTCTCACTTAACTCTTAACTGTGGATATAAAACAGCTTGTGATTTGATTTTACACTTTGAGTCATAATAATCATAGTTAAAATGGAAACAGCTGCTCATAATCTGAACAAATGATAACTCTGAATGATTGCTCTCTCTCTCCCTCTCTCTTTCTTTTTCAGAAGATTTAAATTGGATATAGCTGAGACTATAGAAAATATAACTTGTACAATATTGCACTTACCATAGATAGCATTGTTCATTAATGTCGATTAACGAAAAGATTGGAACGTTTGCAGATTACGTAATATAGCTTGCGCAAGACATTTAAATTAAGAAATCAACAGAGAATTTGTTCCAGACAGGAATACATTCGAGAAGTTATGTAACTGAAAAATGAAAGAAAAACATTCTTCTAAGAGGACTGCCAACTTTATTTTGGCCTCTACCTTAAGAGATGTCATAGTTGCGCTGATCCAGTTTCCTTTTGTGAAGTAAGAGTTTAGATTTTAAGAAAATTTTTTTTAATTTTAAAATCTTACGAAATTTTGTAAGTTTGATTTGTTAGGATATCTTTTAAAAAATATTGCAATAGTTTATATTTGTATTTTAATCAACCGATTTAAATCAGCAATTAAAATTGATTTAAATCAGTTGATTCAGTTTATTTTTTGAAAAAGACAGTAAATATGCTTCAAATGAAAAATAAGATATAATTGGATTAAAAATAAAAGATAATCTATCAGTTAGTATTCGATTCTTGAAGGAAAAAATGAAATATAATGTTTGATATTTGCGTTTTTAAAATCTTGTACGAATGTAATCTTTGTAATCCCAACTTCTTTCTTTTTTTATATTTTAAAATACGAAACAAAAATTTATTCCTCGGGTGATCTCAAATTTTTGCTTTTTTTGGGCAATTCACTATCAGATATAATAAATATTGTTGGTGTTTACTAACTGTAGAAAGTATAAAGTAGCGAAGATAGACGGTCCCTAATTCATACTTATTGTTTTGCAATAAATTTATTAACATGTACTTGAAGTACTCAAAACTTTTGCTATCCAAGGAGGACACTACTATGAAGCGTGAAGATTTAAGAAGCGGACTATACTTGCATGTTCCATTTCGGTTTCGGTGCTTTCTTTAATGCGCAACCATTTAGTCGGATTATAAATATGTTCCACATAAGATGGACTTTTCCAGATTCTGAAATGACGTATTATGCCACTTGTGGAACATTAAAAAAGTGTCAGTGAGATATAAATAAATTTTATGACTGGGTATTAATTCAAATATTTAAATTAAATTAAAAAATATCAGAATTAATGAAATGTTCAATGTGTTTGATAAATTATTACTTTATATTGTGTATAGTGAAAATTTTGCAAAAATTTCAGTATGAAATACAAACTAGATGTTTTCAAAAGTAATACAATATTTGAGTAAAATAAGGCATAGTCGGTTAAGGGCATAGTAACGAATATATAACGATGAACATTTAAATGTACTTTATATATTTAAATTCATTTCGAAACTTTCTCATATCATTATAAGGACAAAGCATGATGATAAGATTAAGCAAAAGAACTAATCGCTTTCGTTCCTGAAAATAATTATGCGTACTTGATTTTCTGATTGTCTGTTATCATTTTCATAATTTCCCACAAAAGTAAAAAAAAAAAGTGGAAAAATTTTCATTCTTGAGCAGTTTCAAGTGTTACACTTCAGGAAAAAGTTAGTGCATAATATAAGAATAGTTCATCTTATTGAAGGCACCACAGGGGGTCAGGAACAGAGCGGGAAGGTTTTAAATGATCGTTATGGTAGAAATGCGATAGTTGTTTTAAGAGTGGTAAATGCTATCTTGATTATTTTTATGCTGAATTTTTGGCTGTCTCTTTTTGCCTTCATTCATCATTTCATATTATATACCTGAAAGCTTTTCTTTATGTCTATACGTAGCATATATTTACCGTACTTATATCCCTACTTAAGGTAGTCGTTAAGCTAATCGTGATCATCTTTGGTAGACGTCCGTCGGCTTCAACCTTTGATGTTCATGAAAAAAATCACTCGTTTAAACACATTTTGTTTCCATTTCCCCTCATTAATTTTTTTCATTTCTATTCATTCATTTCATTTCATAAGAATCATTTTATGGTGGTGCCTGATCTGACCGTCTTTGAAAGAAATCAATAATAAATTTATGACCGGATTTTTTTATTGCATCAATGATGTTTCCGATTGCATACAAATATAAAATGATCCATAAAATTTCGGTTACTGTGACCGCTTGATAAGTATAGAATTCGTGGATTACTGTAGTAAATGAGCCGTAAAGATCTTCCTCCCTTGCGCACTGACCTAATCTGACCTATAATTACTCGTCAGTTTTACAACCTCATTAATTAGTCATGTTGTATCATTTTGATTGAAATTTTAGCTTGCATCATGCGAATTTTTAAATTTTGAGTTCAGGTAATTCATTTTCGATTTGAATTCTCGCTGGGATTTTACATTTCGAACTTTGATTTGTAATGATATGAATTGTTGTTGGATAAGGAATGATTTAGTTTTCCTTTTTGGTTCCATTCAAAGCCATTTTACATTTCAATATGTTTTCCATGGTACAAAAAAATCCGAAATTCAGTATAATGGTTTATCAAATCAGATAGAAATGGAAAAATGAAATTCGCAGGCATACATTAATTCATTTTTTGAGTTTTCGAACCAATTTTTGCTTCCTTTTTCAGGCAGCATAGATTAATCGTCGTTCTCAGGCGGAAATTGCAGTCCATGCAACAACAACAACAGCAACAGCAATAGAGATCCAGTATACGATGCATTCCTTTCAGATGTTTAATTGGTTTGTTTTTGATGATTTCAAAAAAAAAAAAATTTTTTTGTGGTTCTTTTCTCAATTTCTTGTAGCCTATGAAATTCTATGTAAAAGAACTAGGGAGAAGTTGCTGTATATAGGATGCTTTAGTGGCTTGAAGTATCTCTTCATCCGTTCAATAAGAACATTTTAATTAGTGCTCTAGGGTGTTCTTTCTGTAAATTAAAACTTATGGAATCAGGATTATTATTTGTATAAAATTAGGGTTATTATTCTTGTTGTTTGCAAGACTTCACTGAAGACCAACTATTTGTACTAATGAATTCGAAATCAGATACATATCACTGTTGTTCTTTTGAGTCAGTTTTCATCAGCTTTTTTTTTCATTCATCTTTTCTTGATTTTATATATTTTTTCGAAAAATTTTTCCTTATGTTTATTTTCTTTCATCTACTACGATTAAATTCCATGTAATTTTTATTTGATCTAAAGTTAATTGAGGAAATAATCATGCGGAGCATTAAAACGGCATTCTATGTTAAAGAAAGTAAGTGCTTTTAGGAGGCTTCTTTTCTGGAACACATTTCATATTTGTTATTAGATTATATTTATTTATTCTTTAACCTTATTTAAAATATTATTTGATCATTAGTAAATACTGAAGGTGTAAATAATTAAACGTGATGGTTTGATTCATATTCTTTGTCAACCCCTCCAGTTCAATCTCTCAGGGAAAATATGAGGTATAAATAATATGGTTTCGGATGACGAGCTTCTCGTCCTCGTCGCGTCGTTTTGGTATCGGTTTAGTGCTTATCTGTGTGTCTCCGTGAGTGGCACTGTATTGCTTTACTGCTTGAGTTTTGTTTGCATAAGAGAAATGGTAGTGATGGAATAGGACGAGAAAACGGAGAGAGATTGGGGAATGGAATGAGTGAAGGAGTACAAATTGATTCCGCCATAAGGAATAATATCGCGTTCTCGTTGTTTCGGTTATTTTGGCCGACAATAAAGTCATGCAAAGATGGATGGACAGTTTTTAGCACTAATGCTAACAGGGAAGAGAGATGTGCTGAGTTAGCATTTGCTTTAAAAGATAAGCTAAATTTCATACAGTTTTTTAAGATAATTTTGAGCATACAAATTTCTGGAAAAGCATGAAATCTATTGGGAAAGGAATAGGAGAGACAGATTATCTTTATAATACGATAAAGTGAAAATAATTTTTATGAATTCTTTGCGTTCAAAAACTACAAGGTGATTTTAAATACACTGAAATGACTGATTGTGTGCAGAGAAATTTTA